GATAAAAAAAAATCATGAAAGTAATGAAAGCAGATTTCTCCTGCAGTGGATTTAGCGCGCAAGCCGAAGGATGAGTGTATTTTGTGCTTTTGGTGTCTAGATGAGATCTAGAATCTAGATCTAGAATCTTTATCCAAATCGAGATCAAGAAGAATCATGAAATGAAAGTAGAATCTAGATCTGTGATATTTCGATAACCTATTGAATATTGAAAGTGGATTTTTCTTGCTGTGCGTTATAGATTCTAAAAAAAAGGTCTAGATCTAGATCTACATGTGAATATTAGATCGAGATCAAGAATGATGAAAGTATTGAACGTGGATTTTTTCCTGCTGTGAGAAAAGACCTAGAGTCTAGAACTAGACTGCCTGTGAATCCAGATCGAGATCAAGAATCATGAAAGTATTCTGGAAAGTGTATTTTTCCTGCTGTGAATTGATCTAGAAATCTAGGCCATCTGTGACGCCTGTCGGTTGTTAAAAATGTGAATTTCTAAACTTATATCTATCTATGGGCCTAGGCCCCTTCTTTCAATTATTGGCCTGTCTTTATAATTCTTAGAGATCTAGGCTAGATAGAATCTAGATTAGGTTCTTCTAGGAAGCCACAATTGGCATGTAGGCCTAACTCAGGGGCAATTTGGTTAATAAAGCAGGTTGAAGATAGTCAAGGGCATGTAAATTAGATGTTTTCTTCATCCTACCTGTTTTGAGAAAATCTATTTGAAGAAGAAGTTTTCCTTTCGTTCTTTTTGCTGGAGCAAAAGCGTCCATTATTGTTGTTATGCTGTCAATGATGTCCTTGTGGATCGACATAAACGTCAGTGCGATTTCTGGTATTTTGCATACTTCCCTAAATGTCGTCTCGAATTTGTAGTCCTTCAGAGTTGAATAAAGGCCCTGGATTATACGACACTGAGGCAGATTTACATATTTCATTGCAATGTAATACTTTTAATTCTGTTTGTAATTTGATTTTAAGCAAAACAGTTATATTTCTATAAATGATCCTAAAAGAACTGTTGGAAACGACTTTTGATAGTCCTGGAATTAATTGGAGGAATTGCAGATTGAGAGTGCGTTGATTTTATTTTGCTTCAAGAAACTGTCACAAGTTGAGTAACTATTATGTCACAGGCCTGCTTTGCAGCAATTTCGTTGGGGTTGTAATGTCTGCGTCTCATGGAAGCGTGGTTCTCTGTGTGTGTTTTGTTGATAGAACACGTATACTGTTTCTAATTTCATCGACGGCTACTTTAAACGTGTTAGAGCTTGTTAGGTTGCTATGGGCGTTGTGCTTTTGTGTTAGAGAATCCCATAAACAGCGTCAACGTGCATGAACACTTTGTTGAAAAAGTGCAAAAATATGAGAAAATGTTTCGCTCTTTAATACATTCAGGATACCATCGTGGATGGAATTATCGTCCCAGTGCTCAGACTGAATTTCTTCAAGACAGAGCTGGATATCTCCTTTCCAAATGAAGACTGCGCTAATTAGTCGAGACTGTAAATACCACCTTGTTTCAGACGGTCATGGAATATTCCGGTGTCAAACGCAGATGCATTTTGTAGAGTGGGCAAAACATGTCGAAGAGTCTGCATAGCGTTAGCGAAAAATACCTGTTCCCCGACAAATCACCCTTTTCATGACCGTGAAGGGCGAGTTTGTGAGTTTCACAGAACAGAATACACTAGATAACATTATACGGGGTGCCCACTACGGCAGGATCGGGCCAATCGCCCGACTCGATCGCCTGAGACTGAAAACAAGCACGTTTGTTTTTGAAGCGATCGAGTCGGGCGACTCGTAGTCGTAGTGGGCGCCCCGTATTACACAATAAGTGCCTGTTCTTTCTCACCAGTTCGTTATAGTTATAGTGAGACGTTGCAATGCGATGACCCACGACTAGCTGCTATGTCTACTTGTCAGAAAGTATGATACTTAACGGCATTTTTTACGTGCGCTCTTGGTGACTTTTGACTTTAAAGCGTTGTTTCAATTGGACAAGATCAGTAAAACCTGTCTTAGACTTCTTGGGGTCCTCAGTTCCAAAAAGCAGACAGGAGAAACAGTAGGCCTAATCTAGGCCTACAATGAGTATAATTTGCTAATGCTGACTGTAACTAAAGCCACTCCACTTTTTATTCATTGTATTATTCTGATATTTTTGGGTTGGTGAGGACTTAATTCATTCACTCTCTTCTTGTTACTTTGTTTGGTGAACTGAATTTATTTGCGATCAACTCCATTCATCCTGCATTGGAATACGCACTCGAGTAATAAAACTTTCCCCACTTCACCATTCCAACTTCTAACACAATGACCTAATTACGTCATGTTGACCTCGCTCCAGTTCAGGGTTACAGAGGTGGGGCTAGAGATATAAATGGCAAGAGAACGGACCAATCGCACATCGCTGGGAGCACTCTGGTGGATTGCTCCGAAGCTATCATAATACGGGCGTTGAATTGTGTAGGCTATCGTGAACTGGTCTGAGATCGTGTTATTTTTAGACTGCCTCTATGGGCTTTGTTCGGCTTGTGCACATTGAGATTGTGCCGCCTTATTAATATTTATGAACTAAGAAACTCGGTCAAAACGTCATCGTTGTTTGGGTCGTCCCATAGAGGGTTTTCCGAGATAGATTACACCACTGAACATACTATTTTTTTTACTTGGGTGAAGCACAAGAACTTGATATGGTGTAGTAGATGTTGTAGAGCTGTTGTAGATGTTGTAATGAACGAATAGGTTCTGGCGAGGAATTTGTACGGAAAACTGATTGGATTGTCGATTGTAGAGGTTCTTTTTTGTCACTTTGTGGGTGTTGTGCGCTAAAATTTTTGGGCGGCAGGGCACGACCGTACTCTATGGACGAGCCGCCCCTGGCCTAACTCTTTATAAAAAAAGTAATTGAGCTGGAACTTTAGGAGGAAATGCCACGCCTTCAAAGAGGGGGAAGAAGTCTTACCGCTAGAGGTAGTCAAGAGGGGGTGCTACATGGATAAATTCACGGTAAAATATTTATGTTTTGTTTCTTTCTTGTTTTCGGTCTTTTTCCTCTTCTTAACTTTCATAATACTTCTTCATTATTATTCCGTTTGTAGAACGGGTGGTTTTACTAGTATAGTATACTGTGTCGCAGCATGGTGGAATCAGTTTCTTGCCAGTTTTTGTGTGTATGGATTTATTGCTATCAAATTAAAACTTTAAAAATTCTTGAACTTGGTGAAGAAAATAGTGATCTGCAAAAAAGAACATATAGATCTATATATTTAATAAAGAATGAATACGAGCCTTCAGCTTTAATTAAAAGTTACCAAACTTTGACGGCTATTTTCTTGCTAATTTCACTTGAAATGGCAGTCTTGAATGCCTCAAAGACGGTTTACTATGAAAATACTGAAATGCATTGATGCTCATTGCGGATTAGAGTTTTGGGACCACAGCTCTATAACATACAAAAAATTTGTTTCAAGGTGTAATGGGCCCTTTGTGGTGCAATGCAATGTGGTGGCAAGGGACGAAATTTGGGCTTATTACCTGTATTACCTGTCCTTGGCAGCAACGTCATTGCACACCGGACAGGTCCATAAGTGCTCAGTTCCCCCCAGCACCAAAGCCCGATTGTTCCGGTGGCTGTCTGATTATGGCGACGTCTTTCCTTTCCAGACAATCGTTCCTTTCTTCCTTCTCCCCTCTCCATCCCCATTTCCCGCATCCTAATGATTGCGTGGTGTTATGCTGTCTCCTTGTCTTCATCATCCCGCAACTTTTTCTCCAGAGTCTTCAACACTTCTCCTTTGTCAAATTTCACCTCACCATCAACCACAGCACTGCCTGCCAGCCTATCAGCCTCCTCATTGCCTTTCACCCCAGAGTGCCCAGGACAGAATATCCACGTGGTGGCTCTAAGTGATGAGTGTTGTATTGGGTTCATCCATTCACTCCGAAGAAGCCCTTTCTCAACCCTTCGCAAGATGCTCTTGGAGTCCGTGACAATGATGAGATGAGTTGTTCTTGGTCTTGTATTATGAAGCCATCCAAGCGCTCTTGTTACGGCCTCAGTCTCCATTTTCATGCTTGAAATTGTTCTTTCTATGGCCCCTGACATACCATGAACCTTTTTGTTCCCACTGTACACCACAAAACCCCATCCACTTCTCTCACCCCTCCTGACTGATCCATCCGTATAGATCACTGGGTCCTCTGGCTTGGAATGCTCCTCAATTAACTGTCGTATATCATTGTCGTTAATGACAGCAGCACATAGTGATGTGAACGTTGGCCAGTCTTCTGCAATCGGGGCTCAGTTCAAACCACTCCTTTCCACTGCATATTTCATCGCTGCCACAAACTTTCCTCAAGGAGTCTTCGGCTTCTGCCACCCATGAGCTGCCCCGTTTGATCCTGTTTCCTTTGATGCTGCCCAGGTTGTCATGCAAAGAGTGCCTCGGGTCTCCCAAAACATTCAAGTACAGCTTTGCCTGTGCCACCTTATGCCTCACTCTGATGCTGGCCAGGTCAAGGATGTATCTCATACAGACAACATGGGTGTTCTTTGTGCAACCTAGAACGGCCCTCATAGCTGCATTCTGTACTCTCTCCAACCTGTCTATCTGAGTCTTGGACAGGGAGAGGATGCCCAGCCCATAGTCTATGACTGACAGAACCACCAGCTGCATTAGGAGAAAAAGAACTCTCTGTTGAATTCCCGCTGAAGCCAAGGTCTTCACTACATTGATGCCCTTCTGAGCCCTGACAGCAACATTGTCAATATGTCCTCGAAACGAAAGTGTCCTGTCCAGAGTGATTCCCAGGTGCTTCAGCTCATGCTGTCTGTCTATGAGAAAGTGGTCAAACACAATTGGAGGCGTAGGATCTTTCACAATACGGTTGTTGAGTGAGCACCAGATGACCTGTGCCTTGTCTGGATTGATGACCGCATTGTATTCCTCACACCAATCTGCGACCTTGCTCAGCCTGTCCTGTAGCATCCGTCAAACTGCTAGCCTATCGCGACCTTCTCCGTAGATCATCACATCATCTGCAAATGTGAGGATTCTTCCTGCTCCACTTACACCGATCCTGGCAATTTTGGATGTATATATGTTGAACAGAACCGGTGATAATGCTGATCCTTGTGGCAGTCCTGAGGCAATCACTACTGGGTCTGACATCCATCGCCCACTTCTCAGCACCACCTTCCTCTCAAACAGAGCTTCGGAGATCCATTGTATCAACCAGGGGTCAACATCCATTTCCATCAGGAGATCCATGAGCTTGCCGTAATCCACTCGGTTGTAAGCACCCTCTAGGTCTATAGCAGCCATTGCTGTCTCCTCCTTTCTCTGGAACCCTTCAACTACATCATAGGCTAACACCGCCGTGTTTGTGCAGGTGTCTTTCCCTGGTCTGTAGCTTCCAAGGCCGTCTGGAAGGAGCTTTTTCATCTCTAGGTAAATTGCCAGTCTTTTGGCTACAATCTTTTCCAGGATCTTTCCATACGTGTTCTGCATGGTGATGATTCTGTATCCCTTGATGTTGGAGTGGTCTTTGCCTGGTTTAGGAAGAGGCATGAGGTAGCTGTGTAGCCACTCCTCTAGGATCTTGCCTTTGGCCAGACTCTCGTTGAAGTCCTCCACCATGCCCTGTAGATCTTTTTCATCTGCATCCTTAAAATAGCTGTATCTCACCCCATCAGGCCCTGCTGCACTATCCTTCGTTCCACTTATGACCCGTTTCACGTCCTGTATTGTGACACCCTCTCCATACTGCACCCCTGGCACAGCAGTCGTCATAATTGCCCTGATGTTAGCACGCTCCTCCATGTTGCCTTGGTGAGTCTGCTTGATGTACCTCTCAAGGAAAGCCCGGCCTTTTGCTTCATCTGTCTCCATTAACCTATCGTTCTCATCTTAAACAGACAGAGAGCCAGCGTCATTCCTTAATCCCTTCATTTTTCTGTGCAATTTCCAGAACTTGTGTAGCGCCTTCTCCGATGACACCTCGGTCACGTACTGCTCCCACCGTTCCTGCTTGGCCCCATTTGCACTTTCCCTGAAAAGCCGCCCGTCTCTTTTCATCCGCTCTCTGAGAGTATTCTTCTTCTCGTCTGATACCTTATCCGATTTCTTCGCCCTATGCCATGCTCTTGTTGACCTTCTCTTCTGTAGCCACAGCTCCTCAAGTAGAGGATTCCAATAAGGTGGCTGAACGAAGTTTGATTTAGTTGCGCGTGATGCCCAAGCCTTTCTCCTTATTTTCTGCAGCACAGTAGAGCTACTGTCCTTTCCATATATATATATATATATCTGAATGTTTTTTTCATCTTGCATTTTTCATCCTTCCCCTTGTGGCAATTGATCATTACGGAACAAGGCAGATGATCGCTTCCATGGTCTGACAGAGCCTGCCATTTAGCAAGAACCTCCGAGCTGTAATCAATGCCAAATCTATGTTGGAATCATCCTCTCCATTGCGCTGTGCAATCCTTGTCATGTGTGTTCCATTGAGGGTGGAAAAACTGCTCTCTATCATCGCTTTCTCCAGCGCTTTTCCTTGGATGTTATCGTGTACATTTCCCCATGTGACACTCCTGGCGTTGAAGTCCCCTACGATCATCACCCTTTCACTCAGTTGGCCGAGCTCCTCCAGGAAGTCCCAATCTTCCTCAATCCTGGCACTGTTATTGCCCACACAGATATTGACAAGCGTCCATTTCCTCTTCCTCACCTCACACTCCACAATTTGGACCTCCCTGTCCTCCCTGTTGAATCGCTTCGAATCAATCAGTCTGTGTGTAACGCCCTGTTTGACTAATATTAGTTGTCCATGATGGGTCTCACTACATGGATTCGTGTAGGTCTTGTAGCCAGGGCATTTGAAATTTTCTACGTTCGTCTCCTGGAGCATCATAATATCCGTTTCATAGATAAGCTTTTCCAGGTCTCTACCTCTTTGCCTGACACTGCTGCAATTCCAGTAGCATATGGCTAGGTTTTTGTTTCTAAGCCTGTCCGACTTTTTCCGACTTTTCCTCATCCCGGAACGTTTCTTTCTACAGCCTCCTCTCCTTCCCCTTTTCCTTGTTACCTTTTTAGGCCGTAATGCCGGGAGCGTCGTCAAGGGAGCACGATCTCCGTAGCTCCCGCGCAGTTTCCCTTTTAAAGAAATATAATTTTAATTCGTGATGCGTTTTTATAACTTGGGGATGTATACTGTCACCCTGGCTTAGCAGACATTAAGATGTGTCACTTTTGATGTTCTCACCCATATTTGCAGGGCTTAAAGTAAACACGATGGATTGGAGGACCATGACCCCTTAGCACTGTTATTGTGTTAAAAGCGTTATCATCCTTGATTCCTAGTGCACAAGTCACTTCATGGTAAACTGTATTGGAGGTATTCAAGTTTTTCTTCATTTGCATTATTACTGCTTCAAAAAATGGGTTATTAGAGGGTGCCTGTGCTAGGTCTTTCTTCTTTGTTTTCCTTTGCTCGTTTCTGTCTATTGGTTCTTGCAATTTCTGACTCATAGTGACTGACTGTGTCAATATGCAATTCTTTGCTCAAATTCTAAAGTTAAAAACATCTCAAGTAGGACCATTTTTGGGTCTTTCTCTTTAAAAAAAATAGAGAGAGAGAGAGAGAGAGAGAGAGAGAGAGAGAGAGAGAGAGAGAGAGAGAGAGAGAGAGAGAGAGAGAGAGAGAGAGAGTTCCACTCAACCAGGAAAACGGGGAAAAAGCCGGGAATTTCGTTTTCAGATTTCCTTGTTGGGAAAAACACCCGAGAAATTGAATGAAAAAAATATAGTGAGAAAACCAGGAAATCAAAGGTCTTCCTATAATAAGTATAACATTAGCTAGAAGTAAGGCTGACATTAGTATGACAAAGTGTTAGATCTAAACAATTATATCGCCTGTGTGCGTTGTGGGTAATGGCCTAGTCCAATGAGAAAATTAAATAAAAAAACATTTGGATCAAACTTGGACTTGAAACAATCAGCTGCAATGTTGTGCTGTGATGTACAGTTGAGATCAAAGGATTGTGACGCGTACTAGTACTGTTGGTTTCTTTTGTTTTTGCAAGAGCCAAGTCAACAGCCAGTAAAGTAACACCCCCCCCCCCCCCCCCGCACACACACCCCAGCCTCCTTTGTCTCGTCCCTATCCATCAAGTGCTGGGTGTTGTCAACATAAAATAATTTTAAATTTTTCTGATTTACCGGGTAGTTAAAAATGAAGGAAAGATGAATAAACTAATGAGAGCAATTAAAATGAATTGCAATGAAGCATACCTTTTTTCTTACAACAACGGAGCCTTACGGGATTTAGCTCTAGCAAAACTGTCAATTATTGGTTCGTAGTCCAATTTTCGCTCTAGACTGGCCTCTATGACCAAAGTTCTAAGACTTGTGAGTCTGTCTTGACGCATTGAGGACCGCAAAATGTTTTTCACCCGAGAAAGGGTACTGAAGGAACGTTCAGCTTGCGCAACTGTGACTGGCAAGGTGCATAAGATTCTCAACATGATTACAACGTTTGGAAACCAAATATCCAGTTTCAGGGAATGAAGTCTGTTCAGCAACTGAAGATGCGGCAGGACTTTTCTCCAATGTTCGCTGAATGAATCACTTTCAAATGTTCCAACTCTTGCGCACGGTCTGCTGATGCATCCACTGCATATTCCGTGTGCAATTTGTTTGCACGATCACGAATAACGCCGACTTCCTCTTGGAGATATTTCCACAAAACACTAATAAATAACGAATCGAGTTTTGTCACTGCTTATACTTTGTCGCCAAATTTCCAAGAAGGCAGTCAATGGGGACATAGAAAAACTTCTTGTTTGAATTTATTCTCGGGATTTTGGTCGTCTGTTTTCATCTTCTGTCTCGTCCTTTTCTTTTGTCGTTTTGCTGTTTCGGCAAATGAATGCTCAATCTCATAGTTATCTGCTACTAATTTGGACTCACTCAAGACTGCGTTCCATTCATCTCGCAAGCTTTTCAGATCTTTAATCAGACTATTGATATTTTCCACCTCAACGTCAAGAGTTGCATCTCGTGCTTGAAGCACTCTATTTCTGTGATCGATTGCTGTGAGGATTTTGAGCCAAACGATTATCACACATTCAAATGATGCCAAGTACTTGAATTTGAATAACAATCAAATCTGAACGTGTTTCTGGGGGGAGGTTCTTTTGAAGAACAGTTTGAACAGCTTTCCTCAATCCCCTGATGTGAGCCGCAGAAGGCCTGACACTGTCAACACGTGCTGACCAACGTGTCTGAGACATACTGTGCAAAGAGCTGGGAATGTTTTGCTTCAAAATGTCCCACCATTGCGGACTGGAGTTAAAAGTGTTATACAGCTTCAGTACAACTCCAAAGAAAGTTATGACTGTTGAACAGCTTTCTGCAGAATGCACGCCACACAAATTCAAACTGTGAAGCCACGGGGAGAGCATGTGGCAATTGATCACTGTCTTAAAACGTGAGTCTGTGCACCATTATACAGTCCACACATGTTGCTACCGTTGTCGTAGCCTTGGCCTCGGCAGTCTGTAGTAATAGGAATGTTTTTTTTATTATTCAATGTATCAAGGATAATTTTAGCAATGTCTTCTCCTGTTTTCTTGTTACAATCTACACGTTTCAGAAATATCTCTCTTCTACTTTGTAGACATTTATATCACTGTCCAAGTGAACATAACGCAAAATAAATTTAAAAGTTTGTTCGACGTGTGAAGAGTCTGGTGTTGCATCAACGATAATGGAGTAATATTTCGTTCCGTTCTTTCATTCAAAATCACGTCTGTCACTTTTGATGCACAACATGGGATAAATTCATTTTGACTTTCTAGTGAACTTGTAGGCGCCTTTTTTCTTTTTTTTTGTTGGATTTTTCAACTTTTGTAAGATACTCTGCAAGGAGAGGATCGTAATGGCCATTCATTTCCAGAAGTCCAAGAAAGCACTACCAAAGTTCTGTGAAGTTGTCAGATATACAGCTCAACTTGCAGCCAAAATATGTTCTATTTCAAAGCTTTGTACAGTACTCTCTCTCTCTCTCTCTCTCTCTCTCTCTCCCTCTCTCTCTCTCTCTCTCTCTCTCTCTCTCTCCTTCCTCTCTCTTTTCCCCTTGCTTGCGGCCCCCCCCAAACCCCCGGACCCCGGGGCATTGCCCCCCCCTGACCCCCCCCCCTCTCGTCAGGCCTGCACTGACACCCCAGGAAAGGAGACTGTTTATGTCCATGTTACGATTTTTATCTTGCATTACTGTTCATTTTTTCTTTCTAGTTCTGTCATCATTTTAAAAAAATCATTTTAAAAACTGTTACAAAATTTAAGACGAAATTAGGGGGAAAATGGGAATATGTTTTTCTCCTTGATGAGTGGGAACCCTGTACTTACTTGCACCTCGCCTGTGTTGCTATAATTTGCAAAACATTGTTGGTGAATGCTCTGTTACTTCATGAACATTTGTTGCCATGTTGACTCAAATGTAGATCAAATCGGAGGTGGTTTTGTCTGACTCTGCCTGTCAGAACCAGTTGGAGCTGAGTGGGATACCATATTTCAGCAAGACATCACCTCAGACTCTTTTACTAGACTTCCCCTTGGGAATTGATCGAAATTCTTCTGCATGCTATGGCTTATCTGAACCATCACACTACAGGTGCCGGATGAATGGCCTCTGCTGATAATATTGTTCTTGAGTTTGAGATGTATGAGTGTGAGTGGGATTGGAACATTTACACTGGTGTCTGTGATGTTGCAGTAGAGTTAGGCGCTTAACCATGACGTGCTATTGACGCGGGTTTGATTCCCATGGAGTTGTCCCTGTGTAGAGCCTTCAAGTACCAGTGCAATACTGTACATGTATTTCCTCTCAC